AATGTACAGTTTACAAAAATTCTGTAAAAACCTCAAGTCTCTCTGTAAAAACCAAAACCCATTAACACTAAAGCCCCCATTTAATTTATCGTTAAACCCCAAATAACATGCATTTCATATGGGAAACTAAGGTTTTTTTTTGTTATTTACACAAAAAACTAAAAAGAGATACGAAGCAAGTGTAAAATACAAAGTTGTTAAGAATTTAAAAACCTATAAAATGATGTGTCACTTTACATGTTGCTATTTGAAAATGTTAAACAATAGGCATTTGCAAATTTTCAAAAATAACCTTTTTGGGAATTTTTATTATTTTGAAAAACTCGTTACTTGTAGCTTATCACAGTAAAGCTAATTTCATAACAAGTGAGAAAATTCAACCGGAGAAGGGCTAAGTGCATTGGTATAGGAAACACAGAGTATTAAAAACATTGATTTTTTTTCCAAATAAACTGCTGCCATTTTTAAACGGAAAAAGATCATTCATTTCTGTTTTAGCCAAAATGTTTGTCTATTAAATACCTTTAAAATGATGTATAAAATGACATATGTTTACATTTGAAAATTCATAAATTCGAACTAGTGACCCTCAGTTTTTGGCCAATGCAAATCACTTATTTTTCAGTAGTTCTTCATAAAACTATCAATTTTATTATTCTGCAAGTAATTTAGGCTTTAAATGTTTATTTACGTTATTTGATCACCTGAAACATGTGAACAACACCTATCAAAACAAACAAATACTTAACTTCCAAAATCTGAGTGATTTGTTTTTCATTGTTAAAGAAGTCTAAACAAGAACTCAAAAGTAAGTACCGCATGCATTATTTAGCTTTTATATTTCTTTATTTACGACGTAACCATTAGAACTCCATTTTCAAACATCACCTCTTTCTTTTCTTTATTACAGATGTCAATGAATGGTTATGTTTTATCGTGTTTGTTACCAACAGGAATGTTTATATCAGTTTTGATTCGGTTAATTACCAAGGGACGTAGAACGCTATGCTGTATCCATATTAAAGTTGTTTAACCCAAGCCCTTTAGTTTCCTTAAATCGACGATGCATTTACTACGCAGTATTAACTGTATGTTGTGTCCTTCAATAAGTGGGATTTGAGAAGGATTCAGTGCGAATGCTTTGCACGGGTCGGCTATAAAATATAGGCCTAAAAGTGTAAAATTTACTCTAAAAAACCTCCAACGAGAAATCCAAACGATATCAGCACACTCTCACGTAATCCGGTATGAAACGTGCTACAGATATTACAATAGGATTACTTGCAATATCCAAAGTCAATAGTATCACTGCTACCTATATTAATGAGCTAGAGTTGTATAGCTTCATTGCTGTCGTGACTATGTATTCAACCTATCGCGTATTCCGTGGAAATAGTCAACAATATGTTGACTCTCGGTCTAGTCCTCACCAGTTCAGTCTTAACCAAAGACAAACAAATCGTGATCCATCAAATAGGTTTGGCACGAAAAGAGTACTTTTTGCACTGCAGACCAGAGTATTATGAAAATGTATTACCTTGTTAAGTCCCTAATTGATGTATTCGCAAATAAAAAATTACCATGTTCGATTAAAGTTTCGAAACAAACATATTCTATTGTCTATTACCACAGTCATTCATTTTCACTTCGAATCCAATGAAAGGTCGTAGAATAGGCTAGTTATTTTGCGTGATAATTCATGCCATGTTGGTGTCACAATATACAGAGAAAGTTTATATAAACTAACCGTCTAAGTGAGGGATCAAATAACTTAAAAACACAACACCTAAACGGACTCTGATATTTATACTGTATTATTACACTAGGATGCAAATATCAGAAGAGTGAAGATCATTCTCGACATAGTTATAGTTTTTGTCTAATGTTGAACCATTGGCATTTTCATACAGATTGAAAATTAACGTAGCCTTCTATCTGTGTAAAATTACTCAAACAAATTGTGACCACCCTTTCAGAAAAAATTAAAATCTGTGTTCATCTTTATTCCAAAACATGTTTTCTTTTTCGAAGCACCCCCTTCCATGCTATCTGGTTTAATGAGGTGACGCACGAGAAAGGTAGGTGGTGGTTGGCAGTTTAATTAGGATTCCATTAACAGACTATAATTTTGTTGCTTCCCAAACATTATCACCTTAACAGGGACTATAGATGCGACTACCAGATTTTAATATACGTGATCGTTTTTAAATCATTACCCTGGTACAACTGAAAATTAATTATGACTGCAGCTTAACAAAATTTATTATTACGTAACTAACATACAGTATTATGTAATGTAATACTGAATTTGATGGTTCAAAAAGGCCAATAGGTATATAATATTTTTTATTTTTTTTCTGAACATATTAGTTGAACAAAATAACTACAAAGGCAGTTTAACTTAAATTATGTACACTTTTACCCACCTATAATGCTGTCAACTGTGCGATGATAATAAAATTTATTCCTTCTTAGCTTTTCGAGGAAAAGAATCAGTCGTGTGAATGTTTACAATACGATTTATTTACATTAAACAATTGTTTTTCATACCTCATACGAACTCCCGTTTGTGGCTTCGAAGCAGACACCATGAGCGTTTACATTTCAAAAGTCATTCTACTATTTCAAATAGTTTTAAAACTATGTAAAGTATCACCGCAAGCAACAGCAAGTTAATTACATGCACATTTGACAAACTAAACCCACAGTTTATACGTTTTGATTCTTCTACACAGGAATCCCGTTTCCCTCGAATGTTCAAATCTGACGTAAAACACACAGAAAGGCTGTTAGCAGATAAAACGTCCCCGTTGTCGACAGTAATGAAAATACAATCTTTCCCGTTTTCTACGTGAAGATGTTTAACGAACTTCATGGTTTTTGACGTTTCAGATGAGGTTTCACTATGTCCGTTTTTCCATTTAATAATTTCCGTGACTTGCGGCATTTCGTTATCACACATTGAATATTCACACACATGAATTAATTGGATTTCGATTTAATCATAAATTTCAAATACGACTCACAGTAACTATCGACAACACTCTGCTATTCACATGACTTGACTATCTCCATCTCCAAGCTGTATTGTTATTCGATTTGATGACGTATTTTTTAGGAAACGGAAAACTGTTATTCCCCGCACCGTGAGTCGTGAGATGAATGGGAGGGGGGAAATGTGATGAAACGTATACATGTAGAGTTGAAATATATTGCAATCGCATACTTGAGTGATGTGATGAACTAAATATACACTATACAAGTTATTAAACTATGGCTAACATTAAATGCTGTGGAGATAGTAAAGTAGTAAGAAAATGCCCACATAGGACGGATATTGTATAGGTAATACTCTCGCCGCAGCAAACCTGCAGACGAAGCGAATTTCAACTTGTCTGATTACATTTTTACTAAAATATTTCCATAAATGAGACATATTTATTCACAATTTAAATAACATTAGATTTAACCAGAGCTTAGGTTTGCTGCTACGGGGAAGGTAAAAAGTGTTTGTTGACCATATGTCAATAGTATAAAATGAAATAAATAAATTTGCCAAATTTTATCAACATATACCCATAAACAAGTAAACTACAACAGTTTTCATTTTCTCCATAAGAACAACATGGGAATTTTAAATTACACTTTTTTTTTCTCCGTGACTGTTAGGCATAAAACAGCGCTTCAATATACTAAATTATTTCCTTTTTTAAGCTCTACAAAATGGTTGAGAAAGAAATTGCAAAAATTTTTATTTTTAGGGTTAAAAATGGGAAAACCCCATTTTTACCCCATAAAACCCCCCATAAACCCCTGTTCCCATGGTCCGATTATGCTGGTTCGCGAACTCGTTCGAATAAACGTAGGTTTACACGTTGTACCAAATTTCATCAAAATCGGATCATATTTGCTCGAGTTATCGCGCTAACGGACACATATATAAATATATATATATATGAATTTGAACGGATGGTGTTTTTGGCTTCTGGGGACCTCAAAACGAAAAAGTAAATCGGTCCCGAGTCTAGATCTTACCATGAGACCTACGGTAATAGCTTATTCCCTATATGGGAAATTCGCTAATAAAATATGATGTAGTGAAAAAGTATGGTAAAATGCGGGAGTATGTGTTGGTTTCGTTGATGATAGTGAAGGTTTACACGATAAAGAGACCATTGATCTATGAGGATATGAAATAAGCTGTTACGAACATGAAAATTTTACTACCTATCCCCCACGAATACTAGAAAAATACCTGTATGGATCGTAAACATAAACAAATTAAGTTTTTGGCCCGAAAGTAAACAAAACCCCTATATTAATAGCATTAATTACCATATGGTTTTGTTTACTTTCGGGCCAAAAACGTCATTTGTGTATGTTTATGATCCATGGTCTTTTCTAGTATTCGTGCTATCCCCTGTAATAAGATTTTTTGTTGATGGTAGAGGTGTTTTTGAGGTTTAAAGGCATTTTGTTGGTGGTAGGCTATAGGTTTATTAGTGGTAGAGATGTTTGGTGGCCAAGGCATTTTGTTGATGGTAGGCCATAGGTTTGTTAGTACAGTAGTAGGGGTGTTTTGTTGGAGGTAGCCTATAGGCGTTTTGTTGATTATGTTAGTAGTGGAGGTTTGTCTCGGTGGTGGAGGTGTTTTTAGTGGTGAAGAAGTTTTGTGGATGGTATGGTATGATATAGGTGTTTTGTTGGTAGTATAGGCGTTTTGTTGATGGTATAGGTGTTTTGTTGATGGTATAGGTGTTTTGTTGATGGTATAGGCGTTTTGTTGTTTGTGTAGGCCTAGTTGTTTTGTAAGCAGTGGAGGTTTGTCTCGGTGGTGGAGGTGTTTTTTTATGGTATGGTAGTATGACATAGGGTTTTGTTGGTGGTAGAGTTAATTTGTTGATGGTAGAGGTATTTTGTTGGAGGTGGAGATGTTATATTGGAGGTGGAGGTGGTGGTAGCGCCTGTGGAGGTGGATGGTGGAGATTCGACGCCGAGTAGCGCCAGCGCCAGTGTGGACTGTGGAGTGTGAAGTGTAGTGTGCTCTAAGCTCAGTTCAGTTGGTGCGCGACCGTCGTCATGAACAAGACCCCGTCGACGGTATCCGTGCCCGGCAAGAACGGCATCGGGTACACATGGGAATACGCCAAGGCCCCGGACAACCGCACCAGGTGGCAGAAGATCAAGACTGGAATCTGGAACCCAGAAACCCACCAGTTTCTGGGGCGCACCGCCAAAAGCTGGGGTAACTAGATTTTGAAATAATCTCAGCTTTAATTTTGTGGCGTTTTTCCATTAGATTGTAAGTTTTATTACTTTAGCGCGTTTTAATTTGACATGTATGTAGGCCTATATGCAACGTGTTCAATGAAGCTCATTCAAGTTTTTGCAATGATGAATTTATAAATGAAAGAATGGCAGTAACAAGTCATCATGCAAAAATAATTCTTGCTTTTATTATAGGCCTACTTTTGAAAATATCTGTCTGCTTTTTGCAGAAAATTAGATAGCCTATAAGAAAGATTATAGAAGGGTATTACAATTTTTTAAATTTTTAATTTAACTTGGTTTGAGTAGTATTGTAAACAAACTCTACTATGACGTTAGGAAGGAGACTAGTTTCTATTGACCTTGTTTATTGCGAATATTTTGATACAAAAATAAGTCATGGATACATGCCATTTGAAATTGTGGTTCTCTGATCCTAGAGGGGAACTCGTCTTTACAGAAAATCATCTCGTATAAATTAATTTGCACAAAAACCCCATAGGTACATCTTTGATTTTTAAATTTTTTTATAATGGAGAAAGTTTTGCCAACTTTTATTCTTGCAGGAGATATCCATATAATAATGTTTAGCTATTAATCTGCAAAAAATCAACATTAAAAACTGCATGAAACAACTAAGTGCAAGTATACCACACCACATTTTTATAAATAAAAACACTATCATTTTAGAATGTATTCAACTCAACAAAACATAACAAACGAGTTCAACCACACTCAAACAACCCGATTAGTGCCGGAGTGCATCTTAGTTTATGTGGATCAACAATTAATTAAAATATACATTATCGTGATACATTATCGTGAGCCCTGGATATCATAATCATTGGCAGGTTTTTATTAAATTATAATAACGAGTTTCGCGCATACTAGCCTACATGCAAACCGTTCTGAAGTTGAATTTGAGTGAAAAGAAACCAACAAAAAGCTTTCCTCTGCCCCTTTTGACGCAATTTCAAAACATAATCATATGTAATTTTTTTTACATTTCCTCCACTTTTTCGCTAACTTTTAACTTTGCAATTTTCTTACCCCTGAAGGGTTAAAAGCTTTAATAATCTCCATCTAACATCAACAACTCCTCAAACTTCAAAAGCCAAACACTTAAAACAATTTTAAAATATTCTGACTATAGATTATAACTTATAACTTAATAATTTGTAGTCGTAGAGTTAACAATTTCGCTTGACCCAACGAGAGTGTCTACAGGGTAGTACCATGTGACGCACATCTCTATAAATACCACAGCTTTCAGCACTGCGATGTTTGGCGACTTCAGCCGGGCTGCACACTCTTTAATACACAGTATACTGTATCTAGCTGGAGTTCAATGGAAACTTATCAATATGTTACACAAACCGCCAAAACACTATATATCGTGCTAATGGAAACTTATCAATATGTTACACAAACCTCCAATACACTATATATCGTGCTGGAATAGTTTAATGGAAACTTATCAATAGGTTACACAAAACTCCAATACACTATATATCTAGCTGGAATAGTTTAATGGAAACTTATTAATAGGTTACACAAACCTCCAATACACTGTAAATCGTGCTGGAATAGTTTAATGGAAACTTATCAATAGGTTCCACAAACCTGCAATACACTGTAAATCGTGCTGGAATAGTTTAATGGAAACTTATCAATAGGTTACGCAAACCACCAATACACTATATATCGTGCTAGAATAGTTTAATTGAAACTTATCAATAGGTTACACAAACCTCCAATACACTATATATAGTGCTAGAATAGTTTAACGAAAACTTATCAATAGGTTACACAAACCTCCAATACACTATACATCGTACTGGAATAGTTTAATGGAAACTTATCAATAGGTTACACAAACCTCCAATACACTATATATCGTACTGGAATAGTTCAATGGAAACTTATCAATATGTTACACAAACCTCCAATACACTATATATCGTACTGGAATAGTTTAATGGAAACTTATCAATAGGTTACACAAACCTCCAATACACTATATATCGTGCTGGAATAGTTTAACGGAAACTTATCAATACTGTAAATAGGTTACACAAACCTCCAATACAGTATATATCGTGCTAGAATAGTTTAGTGGAATCTTATCAATAGGTTACACAAACCTCTTATACTAGAATAGTTTAATGGAATCTTACCACTAGGTTACACAAACCTCCCATACGCTGTATATCGTGCTGGAATAGTTTAATGGAAACTTATCAATAGGTTACACAAACCTACAATACGCTTTATATCGTAGTGGAATAGTTTAATGGAAACTTGTCAGTAGGTTATACAAACCTCCAATACACTATAAATCGTGCTGGAATAGTTTAATGGAAACTTATCAATAGGTTACACAAACCTCCAAATACACTGTAAATCGTACTGGAATAGTTTAATGGAAACTTGTCAGTAGGTTACACAAACCTCCAATACACTATATATCGTGCTGGAATAGTTTAATGGAAACTTGTCAGTAGGTTACACAAACCTCCAAATACACTGTAAATCGTACTGGAATAGTTTAATGGGTACTTATCAATAGGTTACAGAAACCTGCAATACGCTTTATATCGTACTGGAAAAGTTTAATGGAAACTTATCAATAGGTTACACAAACCTCCAATACACTGTATATCGTGCTGGAATAGTTTAATGGAAACTAATCAATAGGTAACACAAACGTCCAATACACTAGATATCGTACTGGAATAGTTTAAATAGATTACACAAACCTCCAATACACTATATATCGTACTGGAATGTAAGTTTGATGGAATCTTATCAATAGGTTACACAAAACTCCAATACATTGTTTATCATGCTAGACTAGTTATGGGAACCTACTGATAAGATACAAAACCTCCAACAAAATATATTGTATTCATTGCAATGTATTAGTTGTAGTATTTATATTAAGCTAGACTTTTTAATGGTACCTTTTTAAACCCAATTTTGAAACTGAAAATCAATAAAACTCTTTTATATGCTACACAAACCTGTAAACAAATTGTCTATCTGACTGGACCTTTTTAGTGGAAAACTTGCTGGCAACCCAAATCATCAATATCAGCTACATAGTAATGTGATAATATCGAGCACAACTAGTTTAATAGAGGCCGTTTATAGCATAGTTTGAAGCTGAAAACGATTAATAAAACGCTACAAAAGTTTCCAATACATTGTTCATTGGGCTGAACTAGTTTAATGGAAACTTTTTGATAGTTTACATATGGTTAAAAACCGGTTCGGTCGCATCCCGCTGCCGCTCGATAGAATTGATTGGAAGTCATCGACCTTCGTTATCAGAGGCAAACAATTCATTTACTACCTAGAAATACAATAAATTAGAATTTTAGGAAATTAATTTAATGACTGGTGTTTTAGAAAGTGTAAATATTCTCAAAATCGAGTTCCGACTCAAAATTAGTAATATCCGCCCAAAAGTGCTCTTCTAAAGATTGCCTTTTTTATGCTATCCTATTTAGAAATAATAAAACCGATTTATCATATTAAATTAATTCCCACACAAGCCACACATCCTTTTTTCACTAAAGAATCAAATTACGCTATAAACATAAACACTTTATACTAAGTAGTAAGTACAAAATTATTACGGAAGGTGTATTTATAATTTAATCGAAAAACCTATTGGACAATGAATAAAAACAAGTTTTAAGAATCCATAAAATCTATAGCTATGGTTATGTTACCCATGAAATTCTTACTAACCATGAAGTTCTTGTTCACTTCTTTTTGTAATCATGTGTTGTTATATAGTCAGCTGATAACATGTGATTGCAGTCAGTATACAGATTATACTTCTTAACATCAAAGATAGGTTACTGGTCAAAACTAGTTTTTGATTACAACACTACACAGCTGTAATAAACACTCATATTAGATTTTACTGGATTTCAAGAGCTCTAGAAGCGGTTCAACGGCAGATTTTCTTAAATTACTAGAATATAATGTAACTTATAACTCATAAGTTCTCGATGAATACGACTTCAAATCCATTTACTTTATTCAATCTTTCCACCAATTTTACCGTACTTTTTCCACTTTATTGAAATTAACCAGAAGACTTATAGTGAAAACAATTGATCCAAGATATAAATTTGTTATAGTAAGAGAGCTCGCCCCGTGGTCGAAAACTCGAACAAAAGTATGTATGTAAAAACCTCTCTATTTTCACCCCATTCTGTAAATATAACATGTGATCGGAATTGCTTCCATTTGTTTTGATTTTTTGTTTATATTTTGTTGTTATTTCGTTACCAACATGGCAACCCATAAAGCCCATGTCAATTTTTTATTTCAACTTCATTTTTTGTGCTTATTTTTGAACCTATTTTAATTTATAAAGCGATTCTGCACATCTACAGTAAAATATCTTTCATTTGGTACCAACCGTGTGTAATTCGGTCCAGTAGTATGGTCAGGCTAGCTGTCATAAGTTTTGCAAAATATTTTTAGTATATAAGATAATACATTTTATATTTACGCTTTTTTTAGCAATTCCGCAATATAATGTAGTAGATCGAAATTAGCTTAAAACCTGGGGTGTTAAGATATTATAGTCTAACAGCTATGAATTAAGGGTTGTTTTATTGTTTTTAAATCTTTACCCCCGGTGAGTCGGTGAGTGTGTTTAATCTGATATCTTCTTTAAAATTGACAATCAAATCTGTAGTAATTTTTACTTAAAATATCTGGTAGTTTGTAACTGCATAGTAGAGTGGAAAATTTGCTTATTTCTTATATGGGAAATTTGTTAAATATTTGAGTCGTGTAAACGATTTTCGTGAACATAATGGACGTTAAATTTCAACTTCTACATAAAGCTTAAGATGTTTTTTTTTACTTGAGTTTGATTTTTTTGTGTGAAAATACATTAAATAGGTATCCATAACAGATGGAAAATAATTTATTCCTTTGGGTTTATTGTTT